GATCAGGGTACAGCATGGTTGTGTGAAACACATGGAGGTCGTACATACTTGGCCGCTGGGGAAGGGGAGAGGGCCGTATGTGCCTTTGGGGGAAATTTGCCGCGATGGTAAGAAATTTTTCTCAATTTGTCGACTTTTCGGGGTTCTTCTCTTTTCACATTGGCTATATACCTTTCGTCCTCGCTCGGCAGCGAAATTTCTGGGTAAAAAACTGGAAAATGTGGCAAATTTTGGAAAAACTGGTAGGAAGCTGGGTAGGAAAGTGGTGGGTGGGTGTTGGGGAAAGGGGGGGGGGGGTGTAAGAAGATCCCCTCAGGTGGAGGATCGTACTGTGACCCTCCGAGGAGGAGGGAGGGAGGTCGTACTGACACCATCGTTTCACACATCACGATGCTGTACCCTGCTTCTGTTTGCTTCTTATAAGAGAGCTGTGAATATGTAGTTGTAGCAGAGTTACTATCAGTTCATAAACAATGTATAACACATTCCCACGATTCTTATGATGAATGCTCAGGCATGGCCACAAGGAAATGTTCTCCTGTGCGGGAATTCGTGATTGCGTACGATTTTTCACGGAACGAGGTCATAACGATGTGCTGGTATTCATTCCTCAGTTCAGGTATGTATTCTTTTAGTGATCCGTGAAGGCTGTTGCTGGTCACGATACCTTGTTCCAGGCGAGAGACCGCTCGAGCAGATTGTCCTATTACTGATCAGCATATTCTGGATGAACTGGACGCTGAGCGACGTGTCGTCTGGACACCATCGCGGTCGGTTCAGTTACCCATCTTTCATCGCTAGCTCCAATACTTGTATTTCAATTTTTGTTAGTTTTTTTTTACTTTGGTTGTTCTTCCTTCTCGCACTGAGAACAACATATTTTCTTCGTGCTTTCCACTGTAGAAGACCAACAGAACTCAAAAGAAAGAACAAGATGATCTTCTTCAAGTCCCAAGCCAAGCAGAAAAGAATCTGAAAAGCGAAGCAATGTGAAAGTGATTATTCAAGAACTTTGAGGCATAAAAAAGACTTGGTTAAATCCACGAAGTGTTTCCAATATCCTGAATACTGTAACACCTGGTAAAACGCTTCGGAAGCTGGATAAATTCGCCTTCAACGAAGGTGCTCAATAGCTCTTGGAACGTCAGCATAGATATGATAGCTTACATGCAGAAGGATTTGGAATCCAAATGGAATCTCGAGGTCTTATCCGGCCACAGCACAAACTCGCTCCCCCAACTTTATACTTTGAGCAACAAATAATTGAGTGTGTTATGTACACTGCAATTCCTGAGATGGTGGTAGGTGTGGCTGTGTACTTCAACTAAATGTGGCGCTGGTTGTGCTTCTAGAGGGATATTTTCATGTTGACGCATTTTTGTTAAGTCTCTGTCTAACACGGAACAAGATGACAGTCGCCTCAAACTGAAATATTCCACGAGTAACCCATGTAAGCCATCTTCAAATGCCACGCCCACTCCATGTCAGGATAAGGAGAGTACGTAGGGAATGGAGAG